ACTACTATAATTCTATCTGGACCAGTAGCTTTTATAAAGTCTAGAAACATCCTGAGCCAAGATAGAGATATTGCACAGTTTGTATTCTATGAAAGGGGGAAAATCAGGAAGGAGATATCCCTTTTCATCCAATGTTGAGATAAAGGCAAACTTCATTACAAAAATCTTAGCCTTATCTAACAAAGATGAGATGACTTCAGGGTCATTTATAATGAAAAGGCAGTTATGGTTTGTCTCCATTGAGAATCTTGTGTGGACCAAATTTTTTGTTTTCAACTTTGGCTTGAACTATTTGCACACAGCTGCTCTTAGCATTTTCCAAGAGTCTCTTGTACTGATTTGCAGGCAGTTTTGAGTGCAGTAAGGGTTTTGTGATATTTCTTCCTCTGATAGAGATAATAGCAGTGGCTGTGGTGCATTATGGCTGCAGCACATTAAGGTGTGTCATCAGTTTTGTCATGCTTGGAATAAAATTCCTGTTCAGAAATTGATGTGGCAGGTTACTTCCACAATGAAGTAAATACATCACAAATCCAAACTCAAAGATCCAGGGGCAGAAAGAAATGTCAAAATCTCGATTCACAGGTCATAGATCACAACTCCCAACATACGTAAACAGTCAGAAATCCAACACACTAGCCAATGGACAAGGTAGCAAAATAAATTCATTTGTTTTCCCCCTAATTTGAGAACTGCGTTTATCAATGGAACAATTTTTTCATTGGTTGACAAGTGGGAGAGGACACAAAATATTAGCATATCTGAGATACTTTTGTGGCAACACCTGCAACAGACTTGTTTCTATTTTGGATATTCTGTCTTTGGCATATCATGCAGAATATGTACCCTTTTTCTTGGTAGCTTTCTTTCCAATGAAATGAGACATCAGAGGATGCCTTTAGTTTGGCATCAATTTTAACATGAACCAATCAGTGGGCTGAAGTGTTCAAGGGAGGTAACACTTCAGTAGAACATTGGTCAGGGCAGGAGGTGAGGAAGCTGTGAGGCTTATATACAAGCTGGGTCAACTTGTATGCAATGGAGAAGTCATGAAAGTCTTTGTCTTATTCATCAGTTATGCTTGAATAGACTAACCATTCTTTATGGTGAATATTGAAATCTCCACCAATATAAATGCTAGCTGAGGGCAAATCAAAGAGGATATCATCAATCTTCTCAGCTTTTTGTCAAACATTACAATTCCATCATCATGAGGATGATAGTATGAAAGACATACTATGAACAAGGGCCAAGCAAAAGCACATGAATGGTAATTTAGGGTCATTGTTTTTAGGATCTCTGCTACAGAGGAAGCCATTCTTGATATACACCCCAAGCCCATAGGTATGAATAGAGGTATATAAATTAATGAACTGGAATAGACTGGTTGAGTTCAGTTTCAGACAGGAACATGAACTCAGTTTTGATTTAGTTCAACATCTTGATAGTTGAACTGTAGTTCCTTTATATAGGGATCTACAATTCAACTATGGGAGATGGAGAATGTGGGGTCTACTTTTTATATGAGTGATCTGGATTTTACTCTACTGTGTGTGATAAATTTGGTTATATTTTGGTACGAAAGCTAAGGAACCTAGGCAGTAAAACAGTCACACTCCAAGTAACACAAGTAAAAACTTACCTGGATTAATTGACAGAAAGCAAAGCTGTAATTGTGCACTTTCTCGTTGCCTCAAGAGGCCACACTGGAAATTACTGCATGGTGTAGATCCCATTCGCTAATTGGCAATATGCTAACATCTCTTGATGAAGAGACAAATAATCCAGGAGTGAGAAGATATTACAGATGCATACCCCACCCAAAGTGAAAACATGACATTTACCTAGGAATCAAGGCAGCAGAACTTCTTGAGTTGGAAGTATTATGCCTGAGCAGAGGGCTCCAGACATTGATTGAGACAATCTTGATCAATTTGGAGGACTGAAGGACCAACAAGGAGGAGAAGGGGGTGAGGGAGAGTTACAAAGGCTGCTTCTGAATTCCTCTCTGGCACATCTCTGCTTTTGGACAGTTCATTGAAACACAATAAGGGAAGACTAATCCTTGGGATTCCAACCCTACAGCAGTACCTTCCCCATTGCAGTAACAATGGTTGCTGGGATTGAGTAGTTTCTGTGCTTGACCCATATGTATGTCTATAGACAAGCCATGTGAAAACAACCATGTGTTAAATAAATCTTACCACCGGGTGCAGTGAGAGGGTAAGTAGAAGATCAGAGTATGGTATCTGTGTACTCAGTGAAAAGTATCACACACACACACCTTACATTCATATACATTTGAAGAGATTTGCTAAAAATGAGCATACATGATAAAAAAAAAAAAAAAATAACCCAAACTTAATAAAAACAAAGTTTTATTGTCAAAATTTTTTATGTTATTATTAAGAGGAAAGACCAAAGGATTTTTTGATTATTAAATTATATTTTTCTAGCTTTTTTAGAACTTTTGAAAGATTCGTTAAAAATTTTGTTTTTCTTGCATCAGCAGGTGACCATAAATTAGTATGGGAAATTTTAGCGTCTTTTTACAGTGCAAAACACACTGATTTAGTAATTCTTGCAAAAATCAGATAATTGTCAAATTCTAATAAAACTTTCAGAACTTATTCACAAATGAATGAAATTAATTTTTAAATTACTTCTTTTTAGAAAAACTTTGTAAAATTTTCTTTTTTTTTTTACATCTGTTGTTAACCTTTAATTTTATGAAATTTTTAGAAATTCTTTTTTATGGCACTTAATGTTTTTATTAGTTATTAGGACACGTCTTTGGAGAATCATGAAATTTATTTGGTCAAACAGGTCTCTTAGTTACAGAAAATCTGCTATGAATTATGAAAAAAAAAAATGAAATAAAATTGAGACATTATTTAATTAGAAAAAACTTTGAATTGCTTTTATGTATAAAATATAACAAAAAGGTTTTGATGAATAATGAATTTTTACAAGAGTTGTTTTCATTTTTTAATTTTAATTAGAATAATTTATAAAGTTTTAAATTTTTTAAAGTTCTGCATTAATTTGTTTGTAGCAGTCAAGTAATATTGTTATTAAATTAAGATTATTTACTAATCAAAAATAAAAAAGCTCACTACAGTTCAATTACCCCCAATTTTTTAAAAAGAATTTTGAATTTATTTTATGTGTATAAATGTGTCAATTTTTGTAAATACAGACGTTTATACACAACATTATCAGAAAGTAAAACCAGTCGGGTAACTATAGTAAATTTAAATTTTATTGGTAATTTTCTAACATTTTCTCAACAAGTGTTTCTAAGTAAGGGTATGATGAAGCCAAATTAGCTAAAAACTTCAATAAAATATTAGATTACTTAGAATATTTGCTTAATTTTTTTATATTAGAGTAGTTAAAAAGTATTAAAAAAAAGGCACTCGCATTATATTCGTCAAGTAATTATTTCAGAGAAGTATATTTTATTTTTGAAAGATTTTTTAATAAAGTAAAGTAAAGAGAATAACGTTGTGTTGACAGATTTATCATGGACGATTTTTTAGCGTTTTTTTTTCTGATAATAATAAAAAGAAATTATTCCATTCAAGTATTTTGCTTATTGGAAATAATAACTTGAAATTAAAACTAAAACTAAAGCATAAAAAAAAATTTAAAAATGCATTATTATTTTTTAAACTTTACTCTAATTACTTTGTATTGCTTTTCTTTGAGTTTAGAGGAGGTACCTTTGCATTTTATGTGGGCAAAAGTCCTTCATGAGGGTATTATTAAAAAATTTAAAAATAAGCCTTTTTTTCAAAGATTTATTGGGATTTTAAACATTGTACAAGGTTTTCTTTAATAAAATTTGAGGTCTTACAAATTAACTAGGATAAAAAAGAAAAATAAATTTGACTGGAAGCACCACTCCACACTTAGTCATTTATTTTTATTCTTTTCATTTTTCAATAATAATAATAATCAATAAATACGAAAAATTTAATTCTTTTGTTTTTGCGTATACATTTTTTTTTTTTTACTGTATCAACATTTTTAAATCACAATCCATGACAACACCTACGGCTACTATTTTATTTTTAATTCAACAGCGAATTACGAAACAACAAAAGTTAAAATAAGCGAATTCATTTTTGTATTTTGTATTTACTTTTTTTTAACTGTAGGGCGACTTACACTACTTCTTGAAAGTTTTACTTTTTTGGTTTTATTAGTTTTTTGTTTTATGTATTGAATCGACGACACAATTCTTGGTAAAGTTAAATTAAAACTTTTACCGCCAACTCTTAAAAAAGAAAGTAAACATAAACAAAGAAAAAGTATATTTCTTTCTTAGAAAAAAATTCGAAATGATTGTCATTTTTTTTTTTTTTTTTCCAGAATTTTTTTTTTAATCAAGAAACAATCTTTTGACGAATAAATAATATGACATAAATACAAATAGGGTAAATTACAATTTTTCATCTTTTTTTAGCATTTATTTAAAATTTTTCTGAGATTTAATGAGGCTTCTTATTTGTCATCGGATGTTTTTGAACTTGGTCACCTTTTCATACATAAGCAAAAATAAAATCCATCTTCTTACAAAACAATTCATTTGAATTATTCGCGATTCTTTCATTTTCGCTTTTTGAATTCAATTTTTTGTTACGATTAAACGACAGAATGCACTTTATTTTGGTTTTATTTTTAATCATATACTTTTTGTGTTATATATTTTCATATTTTGAAAGGCATTAAAAACTAAAATGAATGAAATCAAATATTTTAAAGGTGTAAAGCGTGTGTAAAAATAAACGAGTAAAAAAAGTAAAAACAAAAAGTTAGCGATTCGTTTTTAATAAAAGTATCATTTAATTAAAGTGGTAAAGTTTTTTTGTTTTGTTTTGTTTAACACATTTTAACTTAGAAGTTATTTTAAAAACTTCTTTTGCAGTGGTGGCGTTTAAAAATGTTAAAAATAAAATGCATTACTAATTTTTAAGAAGAAACGATGTTTTTACCTGTCTGTAGGTAATTTTTACAAAACGATCTCCTATATCTGCTTTCAAGACGGCTATATCTTGATATTCCAATAAATCCATATATTTGTAAAACTGGGCCCAGTTTTGTATCGGTCATCAATTTGAACTGAAGGCTTTCATCACAAGAATCTTCATTTTGTTATTGTCAAAAACACAACAAATTCATTTGGTGAGGTTTCAGCAGGGTGACAAGGGAAGTAACTCTCAATAACTAACTATAATACCTCTCCATTGATTTTTTTGAATTGTTTGTACCTTTGAACTTGAATAAAATTTAAATAAACCTTAGTTCATTAGATTTGTTTTCCTTATTATTTCAATGAAGCTGACTTTAACCGATCAATATTTTCATATATAAATTCATCTTTAAGAATGACAAAAAAGGTTTATTACCCTAGAAAAGAAAAATAATAAAAAAGAGAGAAATAGAAAATATTTTGTAATGTTTGTTAAGAAAAATTTTAAAAACCTGTAGAAATTAAGATCTGGTGAGATGAACAAATTAGACAGATTCAAATTATAGTGGAGACATTAGAATTAAAATATATTCTGTTAATCAGTTTCAGACAAAAAAGGTCTTTTTAATAGAAATTATTAATGATATAAAACCAACTCAAAATAAAAGTTGATTAACTCATAATTTGCAAGAGAAAGATAAAATTTACACAGCACTTAAAACATATATCAAATTATTAACTTACAAAGTTATTAGAAATTTTATACTCTTCAAATAACACACTTTGGAGTTGAGCATTTTTCTATTAAATATTTGCTTGCATTTTGTGTCTACTATGACATCCATGCATCAAGTGTTCAGTTAGAACAAGAGTCTGTGTGTGGAGTCTGGGAAGCAGTCAAATGTAACAAAAATTAAGAAACCTTCCAGGGTCTTATCTGTTTCCTGTTGTCTAAAAACTGTTGTAACAGGCAAGAGCTATGGAAAAAAGATTTATTCTCCCATTTATTTCCCCCATCATGAGCATTATTATATCTATGATATAATAACACTGTACTTTACAGATGGAACAGCTGAAAAGAAAAGGAATGACAAGCATGCTTTGTTTCTCAGAGAGACTTTATATACTAATACATGCACAAAAATATATATACATGTGTCACACGCAAAGAAAAATATATCACATATATCTACATGGCAAAGCAGAGTATAAGGAGAAAAAAAAGTGTCTTACATATAATATGGATATACACCTGTGTCTGGAGAAGACATGTTTAGGATTCCAGATTCAAACAGGCTGGATTCATCTATGTCCCAGGTGAGGACATATTCCACAAACAGGAATCAGCAAGTCTTAGTTTGAGGACTGTGAGCTGGAGTTTCTTTCAATATTTGGGAAAGATATATTCCTAAAGGGAAATGGAACTATGGACTTGTATCTACTGAGTAGGCAGATTTAGCCACTGCCCGATCAAGTGGTTGTGTTGGGGGGATCTGGGCTAAAAAAAGCAACCATTCAGTTTGACTACTGTAAACAAAATGAATTTGGCTACGCTTTCATCACTGTATAGAGTAACATCACTAAACGGCTGTCATGTGCCTTCTGTATTGTTACACTGTCTTCATAAGAAAGTAGACAAAAAAAGGAAAATAATTTTTGTAAAACACCTAGTAGCATAACTAGAGTGTGGGGGCAACACTTTTATAGAAGTTGCATAGTAATACCAATGTACTATTTTGCATGTGCACTAATACAAAAAGAAAGACTATCAGCAGTTTGATATGTTTAGAAAATGGTCACTCTACACACACAGCTTCAGCACAACACTACATCTTTTGTCCATAATAAAGTCTATTGAAACACATATCAGCCTTGTCTCATTACATGGTGACAGCAAAAATAATAAAAGAATACCAGCCTGAATACTAAGAAACCAACACACAAAGAAAACAAAAAGAAGATAACAACAAACTCACAAAATATAATGCACAATATCCAGGGAGTCTAAGAACATCTCAAGATCCTGATATTCAGTACCATGCAAATAACCCCTATGTCTCAACAGAGAGAAGAAGCCTTTGCATATCTGGACAAAATGCTAATGAACAGAGAGGGAATCCACTGACTGCACTTAAAACTAGACACAAGCACCAAAGGAAATACACTGCCAATCACCACATTCTGCAGAATGCTCCCAGAAAAATTAGACATCAATGGTTTCACAAACTGGAAAGCAAAAAAAAAAGAAAAATGGTACAACACATTCCATATTGTCAGCATAAAATGACCCGCAGTGTTAGGACTACCCTTATCAGAAATACTGAAGCTGGTAACACTAGACTGTGATGTGAAGATAGGAGACAAAACTCAGCATATAATACACAAACTAATGCCAATCAAAAGTGTAGATGACCTTGCTAATCTATAGCCAGAATATTTTGACAAAATTTTCTCTGTGCCAGGAAGTATAAGGCTCACTGTTTACAGTAACATACAGCCCTATATTGACCTACCCAAGAAAACACCAATTGCACTAAAAGATGTGATAAAAAGGTGCTTGACACCATCAAAGAAAATGGGATTATCCAAAGGGTAACAGAACAGACTAGGTATCAGGCTAAGCATACTCAAATAAAGATGGAAGTTTAAGAATATGTTTCAACTCAAGATATTTAACAAAGTACTCAAAAGACAACACCATAAGATTCCAACACTTGAAGAGCTAACTGGTGCCAAAATATTCTCAAAACTCAATGGCAAGGCCAGGTATTGATCAATTCACATAGACATTGAATCTCAATTGGTAACAAACTTATAATCACTGTTTGGCAGATACTGCTTCCAGCAATTACCTTTTGCAGTGAATGTTTCTCAAGATATCTTCCAAATAAAAATGAACCAGATTCTTGAACAGGTTGACAGTGCAGTATGAATAGCTGATGATGTTATGATGTGTGCAAAAACAGATGAGAAACATGACAGAATCTTGCAAAAATTAATGCAGGTAGCCACAATAAAGGCAGAAAGCATATCATTTTTTAGCATGGTCTACAACACAAGTGGCATGAAGCCTGACGAAAAATTTATGCCAACCTCAACATCCAAGAATGAATTAAAGGAATTTCTAGGCCTCCTTCCTGTTTATTACCATTCATACCAAACTTATCTGACACATACCATGCAAGGTCTTTTAAAGAAAGATGCAATTTTCCTATGGAAAGAGCACAACAACAGATACCTTTAAAATCTCAAGATAAAAATCACCCCTAAGACTCAACACTTGCATACCTCAACACACGTGAAACCCTGACCCTCCAAACTGATGAAAACTTGAAAGGACTTGCAGCTGTGTTATGGAGTGTGAATTTTTTTTTTCTCTTCCACTGTATGAATCTGAATACCTCATCACCAAGTTTGTTATGGAGTGATTTCACAGTGGAGGCTTGTATTTGTACTAAGTCGGTCCTAAAATAGGTTCGATGTACAAAACGTTAGGAACTGCATATAATAGGTATGACGCAGAGTAATCTAGTGGTGGTCGCTGATACTTTAGTATCCAACTAACGGTCATCCAGCATCGACTGATTGACCAACTCACTGAGCGACTCGTTACTCTTACTACTCCTACCTATTATAGGTGGGAGAGTCTATTAACTATAGAATAGGTATGTTCCACTATAACAAGCTGCACCACTTCAGAAGAAATATTATTTAGAGTTCACAATTTTAAGTTTGGCATTATGTCAATTAAAAGGTTTCTATAGGTATGTATGTGCATGAGAGAAAAAGAGAGAGATAGAGAGTGAGTGAGTATCAGTTGTGAGAAAGAGATTTATTCATGTACATACATTTAGAAGGAGAGGAAGAAAAACAGCCTAATAATGGCTAGTGTCATTGACTTCTGTATCTGATGATTATGATGTAAAAGGTCAAGGAGGTTTATATAAAGTCACTCCAATACCAAATAGGTCATTTGAGACAAGTTGATCAACTGACTTTTTCAGTTGCTGACTCACTTTTTATTTGTTTTTGGAATTGCTACTAGCTCAAAAGCTTAAGAGTTTTGAAAACTAAATAAAACCATTTGATTGGTTAATTATTCTGTCAAAATGAACATGTGATGTGTTCTCTACTATTGTGGCTGAGATCAGACTGGCTCAAATGAAGCCACTTTTCTTTTTCTTCAAGAAACCAAGCACAAACATTATCTCTATTTTGTTGAGCTCTTTGATTGGTTTGTGATGTCTCCTGTCATTGGTCAGGCTGTTTCATGCTAGATGCAATTGTCGGGCCTGATGATTGCATCTAGCATGAAACAGCCTGTTGTCTCTGAGTGTTGACTTCAATGTTCACTTTTATATTTATATTTACATACACTGTATCTCGGATATAGACCACTTTATCCCATAAATATAGCACACCTTAATACTATATTTCTTCATATATATATATATATATATATATATATATATATATATATATATACAAAGATGGGCTGAAAAGTTCACAGGCTGACTAAGATGGAGTGATACTAGAGCTGTGAAATCTTGCATGCATTAATTTCAACTGTTATTATTAATAACTGCATTGTTTCTTTTTTTTTCTTTCTAGGTAAACTGACATCTGACTGTTCAAAGAAGACTCTAAAAGTAACTAATGGTGACTCCTCTTCAAAATGGACAAGATTCGGCATTGTGATGCTATTGTGTACCTGCAGAAAAGGGTTTAGCCCCCAAGGACATTTATGCTAACAGGGTTACGACATTAGGGGTTGACACTCCAACTTTATCAACAGTGCAAAAGCGTATAGCTGAATTTAATAGGGGAAGGGAGAGTCTTGGAGATGACCCGAGGTGTGGACGTCCTGCAACAGCCACCACTGAGGAAAACATTGATCATGTTCACCACATGGTGATGGATTACAAGCGATTGACTATAAATCAAATAGCCAATGCTATTAGCATGTCTCATGAGAGTGTTGAGAATATTCTGCACATTGGACTTAGCATGACAAAGGTTTCTGCTTGGTGGTTGCCATGTCTGATCAAAAGTGCACCAGGCTGTTAACACCATGGGAAAATCTGATATTGTTTGAGGCCAATCCAGCTGGTTTCCTTGAACATTTCTTAACTCAGGATGAGCCATGGGTTCATCACTTTGAGCCAGAGACAATCCATGCAAGGGAAATACCTCTCTGCACCTGCTCCAAAGAAAGCCAAGGCCATTTCATTTGCAGGAAAAGTGATGGTCTCAGTTTCTGGGGATGTAAAAGACAATTTATTTATTGACTATATTCAAAAGGGCCACATCATCAATGGAGAGTACTATACCAACTTGCTGAGGCAGTTATGAAAGGACATCAAGACCAAATGCCCAAGAAAACTGACAAAAGGGGTCTTTTTTTATCAGGACAATGCTTCAGCAGACAAGTCCTTAGTTTCAATGGCTACTGTGCATTTGAATAGTTGATAACATTCGTTATTCTCCTGATTTGGCCCCATCTGACTATCATCTGTTCCCCAACATGAAAAAACACTTGGTTGAGAACCAGTATTATAGTGATGATGATGTCATATCTGCTACTGATGATTTTTTTGACCAAAAGGGTGAAAACTTCTTCATCAATGGGATCCAAGCACTGTAACAACAATGGAAGATGTCTGTGGGCTGCAAGGAGACTATGTTGAAAATTAAACATCATTTGGTCACATTTCATGAGAGTATCTTGGTCAGCCTATGAACTTTTCAGCCCACCATCATATATATATACATATATATATATAAATATATATATAGAGAGAGAGAGAGAGAGAGAACGAGAGAGAAAGAGAAGGATATTTTTTTCTATATTTCAAATGTGTTGGATGAACCCATCCCTGATTGACTATGCCTTTAGGGGTGTAGCTGTACTCACCACACTTGGCTAATTGTGGACTGAATCTATTTAACCTATAGTTGGAGGTTTTAAATCAGAGTTGTCATTTTCCTAGACAGGTTGCCACTCATGACTATAGGACCCAGTCTGTCCTGCTATTCAACCCATAACTGGGAGGAGAAGAGATGGATTCATACCTTTCCCAAGGCTATTAGTACATAAGTGAATATAACAAACTCAACTGGAATTCAAACTCAGCTTTCCAATTCCTCAATCTGAGGGTCTTATCCATTAATCCATCATACATCCTTCTGGTATATATTTAAATATAAATTGTCCATTTAACAATTTATGTTTGTCCTGTTGGAACAGTTGGTATGACGTTTGCCTGATAACATAACTGTCCAGGTTTCAGTTCTCGGTAGTGGAAATGGCCATCCAGTGTTTTCTGCATTCTGTTGAGGTTTCTTCTAGACTCAATGAATTACTTAATTATAATTATCTTAAATCCTCCTAATTTCTATCACTTGTATATCCTTGCTTGAACCAACTTCTAATGGATGGAGTGGCTTGGTGATAGTTATTTCCCTTGGTGATAGTAGTCATCGCTTGTGGGGATGCAGTCCTATGGGTAAAAGAGAAACTCAAATGAGTTCCACCATGGAATATGTGATTGAGCAGTACTATATCGGGTCTGATTTGCTACCTCTTTGTCACTGAGGCCTGTTGGAACAGTTGGTATGATGTTTGCCTGATAATGTAACTGTCCAGGTTTCAATTCTTGGTAATTGATGCGCACTGCTGATGAGTCCCAAATATAGGACAAAATGGCCATCCAGTGCTTTCTGCATTCTGTTGAGGTTTCTTCTAGACTCAATGAATTACAGAATTATGCTTATCTTAAATCCTCATCCTAATATCTATCATATTTAGATACTAGCAGTAGAGCCCGGCGTTGCCCGGGGATATAACAGTAAGAGATAGATCAAGTATCCACCATCATAAAGACTGAAAAATAAAATTGACAAAGATTATTGTTTAAGGTTGACGGACATGCATGTCTTAATTAGTTTTTTTTTGTTTTTTTTACGAATTGGTCAAACCCAAACTCAAACAAAAACATTGTTTTCAATCGTTATGAGTCTACTGATTGAATAGAATTTCATTATAAATAATTGTCTTATAAAGGGAATTTTTAAAGCATTCTGAATGTAAAAATAAAGAAAAAGGTGTGCAAGACAATAAGAAACACTGCATGCCAAAAAAAAGTGAAGTTTTGTTGAAAAATATAGGTAGCCTTTCTGTAATCTTTTAGTTTTACAATTTATGATTTTTAATTATTGAATACAGTAATAAAAATTGCATATTTTGCTTGTGGTGATTCATAATTAGAATTCTGATTTGAATATATTTTCCACTCGTTGTTTCTAATACAAAAAATATTAACTTTATTTTGGTTTATTAATTATGTAAATGGAATTTTTAAAGCATTCTGAATGTTAAAAATAAAGAAAAAAGTGTGCAAGAGAATAAGAAACACCTGCCAAAAAAAAAAAAAGTGAAGTTTTGTTTTATCGGCTGAAAAATATAGGAAATCGCTCCCCATATTTAAAGTAACCCACACACGCAAACAAACCGATGTGAGTTGTCCCCTTCCATTTTCACGATGTCTCTTAATCGTGTTTTCAAATTGATTTTGTGCAAAAACAATTATATTTTTCCCAATTTTGGCGTGGTTAGAACCACCACAAGGTAATTTTATGTAGTCCTGTGAAGTTTTGTTGAAATTGGTTGAAAAATGTAGGAAATCCGATCCAATATATAAACGTTACAGACACACACACACACACACACACAATCTGCGTTTTATAATAAGTAAGATGTACTGGAAACCAGGAATTTTTTTCAAAATATAGAAAAAAATGAATAAAAATATCTTTAAGAAACAAATTTTGTTGGTCTTTCAACTTTATAGGGGGCTTATAATTATTTACCAAGAGTTATAATTCAGGGTCCTTGGTCATGTCTATTACAAATAAATAAATAATTATAACAATTATAATTATCATTAATACAATTCACCCTTTTTAAACCAATGATAATCAATTCCACTCTTCTCCTCTATCACACACAAACACATGACACCCTCACCCAGACAAGTGGTTAACATGAGGGTTGACCAAAATTTCAGCTCTTTTACTTTTCAGGCCAAACGGTGACATTTGTCTCTTAATACTCATAACCAAATTTTGAGGTAAGAAAACTCCAGAATTCTTTTTTTTCCAACCATATTATATGGACACTCACTACACACATTATATAAAAAGATATACAAGAAAGACTACAGAAATTTTCTCAGTATTACTGTCTCTTGTGTTTCTAACACCACATAACAACAACAGTTAAACAGATAATAAATAATACTTGTTTTGCTGTTTCCACATCTTCCGACTTCTCATTTTCTACAAGTATTTTTTGCATGTATAAATGTTGGGTGGTTACAATTATTTTCCCATAGTTATAACTCACCTAAAAATTGTATAAATGAAAAATTGCTCATATACACACCCTACATATATATATATATATATATATATATATAATAAAAAGGCTTATGGAATATTAGTGTTTAAGCCTTTTTATTATATGCTTACTCTGTCCTGGACATTGAGTTCTACCTGGATTCTATCCTCTTGGAATTATTTTTTATACAAATATATATGTATGTGTATGTATGTATATATATTTATATATTTTAGATATATGATTGCATATGTGTGTATATTTACCACTAATATTATCTATCTATCTATCTATATATATATATATATATATATAATATATATATAGATATAATATCTATCTATATATATATATATATATATATATAGAGAGAGAGAGATAATAATATCTATTTATTATATATATATATATATATATATATATATATATATATATATATATAACACATCAATAACAATTAGCAACATATTAATAATTAATACTATGGTTATTATCACTACCAGCATAACACACAAGCAGTTAGCATTGAAAATACAAGCATCATCATCACCATGCCCACAAACAGAACATCCAGCTTAACCAAAGTGGTAGACCAATAGAAGTCTATGTGCACATTTCCATGTGTGTATGAGGAAAAATATATATATATATATAGATAATATTAGTGGAAAATATACATACATATATATATATATATATATATATATATATATATATATATATATATATATATATACTTAGTTGTTTGATGTCATGTTCAGCATTCCAACTCCATGAACCTTTTTGTAATTATTCAGTCCACTTGTCAGGAGGTCCCAGCAATTGTCTGCTGATTTTTTATTTTTTTTATTTTTGTTATATTTATATTAATTTAAAAAATAATTTATGCACATTTTATTGGTATTAGGTTGATTTTTTTTCTTCTTTGTGTGTGTGTGTATGCCTGTATGTGTGTGTATGTGCACGTGTAGAATGTTATGCTCTCTCTCTCTCTCTCTCTCTCTCTCTCTCTCTCTCTCTCTCCATATATATGTGTGTGTACGAGAGAGAAAGAGTGTATGTGTGTGTGTGTGTGAGTTTTAAAAAGCAAGAGATTACTTTATCTTTATTCTTATAAGCATTTCTATTTAGACAATTATCCTTATGTTGGGTTGATAGGTATAACAACTAAGATGAGGATATATATATATATATATATATATATATATATATATATATATATATATATATACACAAAAGAGAAAGGCATATATTAATTTTCATCCTTTTATCAAATTTTCTGATATAGGTTATATTTTATCCCTTTTACTTACAAACAAATTTAAAGAATAGGATATCATGCAAAAGAAGATCCTTGTTGTTGTTTTTTGTCTGAAATTACCCACTAGTTATCAACACTTTTCAGCTGTAACCTATATGATGTTTCAAAGACAGAACAACTTGTTGTAAGAATGACTTCAGCAGGCTCAGATGCCACCATTCCGTGGGCAGCTTGGTTAACAAATATAGAAAAGATATATATAAAAAAAGAAACTACAAAAAAACTGATAAAAAGGTAACAGAAAATGGAAAATACTGTAATCTCTTTTTATATAATTACTTGTTTTTTTTTTTTTAACTTTAGTTCAATTGTGTTATATTCTGTATTTTTTAGGTTCAACTTTTATACTGAACAGAACAATAAATAAATAAATGAATAAATAACCTAGTGTGATGGATGATGTTTTGGTGGAATGAGATCCAGGTTGACTTAGGTTTGTGCAGCAGAAGGAAATTTTAATGATGACTGACAGTTAAAATAAAAACATAACTTGTTATATAATCTGAGATGGATTGAATATGCTATCAAAAAAGAAGCAGAAAAGCCTCCGATTGATTAGAAATTGAGATTGTATTTATTTTTAAATGTGTTCTTATTCTTACCAGAAGATGTATGTTAAACTCTTTTGTTTTTATTTATGCATTTGAGGTTTTCAAATTGAGTTGCTACTCAAGCCACACTAGTCATGTGTTATGCATGTATGGAGTGGTAATTCAGATATTACATACAACATGTTCAATAAGTAATTGTGTAAAAACCAATTGCACTAATACTATAATAATAATGTTCAAAACAAAACAAATCTAAAGACAACTTTGTCAAAACAAGATTTTTATCTATTATAAATGACTAGCTGTAATCAGTAAAGCATTTTTCAACAAAAACTTTTGCAATATTACATCCACAATATCTTTGAAAAACATCTTTTACCAAAGTCATTGATATTTTTATCCAAAATAATTAATAATTTTAAGATATAATGATTTCATAATATAAATGTTATATATAATTTTATAATATAAATGTTGTAAAAGTGTTTTTTCTCTTCATTCTTATTTTTCTCTTTAAAGAAAACAATCATTTTAAATCAACATGAATTGTTATAAGTGGGGTTATTTCCCTTACATCAAAATACTTTCACGCCTAATGTCGTAAATAAACATCTTGTGAAATAATGGTATCTTATTCGTAAAAGAAAAGTAACTATAAATAAAATACCATATACATCACTCGTTTCTGAAAATTATAAATAAAAAGTAGAATATTTAAATATTCTCTAAAAGATGATTTGCCGTAAGTGAGTTTGTATATTCCGGTCATGTCTTTTTTTTTTCTTTTCTCAACCCTTGTTGAGTAACGTACTGATGTTTGTTTCTACTTAGTTACTTCATATTTTCTAAAAGCAAATATGAGATTGCTTCATCCAGGTAATTGCCTGAGGTTTCTTAAGCTGTCCAGAATTCCACAAAGACATATTGAAGTTCTTGGTTTAGTGACTGTGACAGAATCCTCTTGCTATACAAAATGTAAACACACAGGCACGTGTCTCAATTTTACGCAAAAAAACGATTGCCCTCTATTTAAAAAATGGAAAACAAGTCACCTTGGCCTGGCAACATCGAATTATCTATTGAAATATTCTACGAGAGACAAAGATGATTTAAGTAAAGATGCCGTCGTACAGGAGATTTTGAAAGATATTAAGGATGATTTCGAGAAGGAATTTAAGTTGTATATTGGAGATGAAGAAGAAACAAGCCCTGGTGATAGTGAACAGCAGAAAACAGAAGTGGATTCTGATGAAAAAACAGCTAAAAAGAATGACTTTTGTGGGCCTTTGGATGTTTTATCACCTAATTCATTTGAATTAGGCGATGTCCACATGGAAATTGGAAGTGGTGACCACCTCTCTTCAATAAACGATGAAAACGAAGAAGAATTGTTGACCAACGAGGAAGAATACATTGAAGATTTTGTAGATTATGGATACACAATAGAAGACGATGATATCGATGTTTACGTGTACAAGCCGCCGATTGAATTGAAAAGTATAATTAATTTAACTATTTTCTTTTTCTTTGTGTGTATGGACAGAAAACAAAAGAAAGTTATTGTATGTTAGAAAAACCATATTTCTGGTATTGCTAGATGCAAAAAAATTGAAGTTTTCTATAGCAAACTTCTATTCTTTTTTGCATCTTATTTTTTTTTTTTAATAAATGTCTTAAGAAGCATTATAATGCTTCTTAAGACATTATTAATATTTGAATTTGATTGTACAAATCGTGCATCGAGCCGGCCCGCCATTTTTTGTGACGCAGATCAACAAACTTTAAGTTTTATAACGTTAGTTTTTAATCAGAAAACCGATGGTAATAAAATAAAATAAAAATATTTTACAGCAAAGGGCCTTCCTTACTTTTAGATTGTTTGATATTTTTTTTATTTCGACGTTTTTTTGAACGCGCAATATAATTTTCAAAATTTTCTCTCCTTAAACAAGCACAATGAAACAAATACTTTCTTGTTTTTTTAGTCCTTAAAAGGCCTCTAGGATAATTTGGGCTCATCTCCATTACGCATGTTCGCCCCCTTGTCAATAAAAAAAATTCTGTTTAGTAGATGATGCTTTATGTAAAACATGAAACACTTCAACTAAAATTATTAATTATTTTAGAATTCACCCAGTTTATTTGATTAGCCACTTCATGATATTTTTTTTATATCCAAACTTTAAAATTACCTTCTACAGAACTAGAATGAAGAGCATGTATTACACTGAAATTTGAGTATTCAAAATAATTAAATTTAAAACACCAACTCTAACTTGAGGAGCCCATCTAAATTGTTTCAAATGAGTTCAAAGGAGGGCCCACTAGTCTTGGGGCCCTTAAAATGCAGCAAATACTAGCCCATATTGTAAATCCAGCACTGTGTGTTTATATAAAATCTCCCCTGTGACACACACACTTAAATTGCATAAAAAATCAGGTCCTGGCACACAATGATATCTAAATAATGTTTTTTCTGTTTTTTCTCCACACACAGCTATTGCTTCATTTTTACTGTTTTGTATTGAAAAATATAACTTTGCCTTGAGATAAAATACTGATTTTCGAAGTCTACTGTTTCTTCCTACTTGTAAGATTGGTACAACGCAATCTTTCCATGCCTATTAATCTAAATTTAGCTTTGATCCTCTTTTTTTCTTTTTTTTTTTTTTAGAATAATGTTCACCCAGTACAAAGCCCAAGAGCCACTCAAGCTAGAGGGTTACACAGTAAGAAGCACAGTTTATGGGGATATATGAGGAAGGTAACAGTTAATTTGAACAGGTTAAGATTGTAGTGATTGGGGAAGCATCCTCATAGGAGTCAGTTCCACAAAGCAGTGGTTTCATGGAAAGAAGCTGCTCAAGTACAACTTACATTTCACCAATGGAATATGAAGGGAATGAGCATGGTTCACTACAATGTTTAAATTGAGCTTAGTAAGTAAATATCAATTTTGGTGGGTTAAATCATTGTTTATTTTCCTACCAGTGGTTAACTCAGATTAAAACTAGGATTTTCAAGGCAGGCTGGTATTCTTCACTTGGGAGATGCTGCTGCTGTACTAATCTTCTCATCCCCTATTACCTTTCCCCTATTAGTCTTTGAATTGTACTAAATTAAGCCTAAATTTAGGAGGAACAGTGGAGTAATGGGTAAGCAGCTCAGATTGAGGAATTAGCAGAGTTTGAATTCCAGTTATGAATCTGACCTCCCCCCCCCGCACCTTTTATAGGTAAATAGTAGGACTGACTAAGTCCTATAGCCTTTGAATTCAAAACCTGAAGACCTAGTGTACAGAGTGAGGGTACATACACCATATTCCATGATCTTCAGCTGTTGGTCAAGAGCTTGGAGAGGGCTGCCACCAAATTATCTGAAAGTCAACTGAAAGGATCATGAAGAAGAAGAAGAAGAATCAGACTTTCTTCTGCACTTGGGTCCCACAACAGTTGAAGCAATTGAGGGTTTTAAAAAAATTATGCCGGGTAAATATCAATAAATGCATTGATTGTACAATATTTTGTCTGCACAGATGTAGGATGTCTCAGACAGATTTTATCAGATGGTGCCATGTTTATTTTGGAGTCCCAAATCCATTTTCTTGTTTTTATCCATTACAGTTTTATACTATGAGCTGTAAGGCTCACACAAAATGTGAATGCTGGTTTTTAAAAAATGCAAATATTTTCTGAGATCTCAGGCAATTTCTGGGTCCCTTTTCTCTTTCACCTCCCTCTCATCGACCTTGCCCAGATGCAAGGAACACATACTTTGTACAGGGTGCGATGGATAAATTATCGTGTAAATGATGCAAAAATGAAAATAACACTGACATCTCATTTTAACAGATATATTTACCAAAATTATACAAAAATATCTTGAAATACTAAAGAGTAAATTTATTCAATAAAATCGCCACTGGCTTCAACTACAGCCTCCAGACAACTTCAGAATCTCCTGCATCTCTTCTGGAAGGTCTCCTTGTTTAAGTTAGTGAATGCTGCCATAATCCTTGCCTTCAGTTCATCTTTGGTATGACAAGGAATTTTGTTGGTCTCTTGCTCAACTGCACCACACATAATAATCAAGGGGATTGCAGTCTGGGGAGTTAGGTGACCAGATGTGGTTACAGAAATTCTCTGACAGCCATGACTGGATTCTCCTGCTTGTGTGGCATGGTGCAGAGTCCTGTTGCCAGACATGATCTTTCAGCAGTTACCCTCTTGACCCAGGGCAACACTACCTCCTCAAGGTACTCCATCCATAAGTCTGAGTCCCTCACTAACAAATTCAGGAATTCTTTTCTTATCAGAATGATCAAAGTGAATTTTCTGAGTTTCTGTATCTTTGTAATCACCATTAGACTCATCCAACTCTTTCAAACACTCTGAAAAGTTCGTATTTGAGTTTCCGGCATGAATACTAAGCAGTACAGCATACTGTTTCCAAATTTCTGTCAGAGTGAATTGCGTCATGGTGCTTTTTTTCTCACAGATAGTACCCAACTAACCTTACTATACTCTGCAATGCAACAAAATCAGCAACAAACAACACATGTCTGAAAGTAAAAATATAAAATGGCAATAATTTACCCATCACACCCCATAAATCATTATTACTGTAATGAGTTTATTCCACAGTAAATGCCTAATACTAATAGCCTTGTGTCAGATTAAGATAACCTTAGAGAATGGTTTGCGATATAGCACTCTGATATAGAATGATTAGTAAGCTGGACGGTATTGATGCCACAGACTTATGCCATAGTTTCAACCTTCAATAGAAGTAAATAGGTTTGCCTATCATCAGGTTCACACTCCTCTCTAGTCTATTGAACAGGAGTAGATGTTTATCCCTTGTTTCCTGTTTAAGATTGGGTTTCTGGTTCCTTCTAAAATCTTTTCTTTCTCTTTCACTTCCAGTAGCCCCCTTGTGTCTTAGTGGCATTATCACCTTTCTAGTGGTGAACTGATTAAAAATAAAACCTAGATAAATTTTTATTTTATGCTTGCATTTTAGTTTAAACTTTTATTTATTTTCATCAAGAAAGTAAAGAATGGCATGCATCCCTTTTTTTTTTTTTTTGTAAAAGTGTTAATTTTAATAGAACCAAATGGTGGTGACATGATCTCCTTGCATTCTGCACCAAGAACCAACTGAATTTTTATGAGAAGTATATTCATATATACTAATAAAAGGATTTTATGTTTACTTATCTTACCCCTACTCTGAGTTTCGTGCAAATTATGCCCACTCATCAGGGAACTTGATTGTAAAATGCCATTATGCAAGGATGTAAATTCTGTAAAACTCTGTCAGAATAAGATAAGTGAACATTATTTTTTTATTACTGTTAATGCTGTATCTCTTGATTTTGGGCACTATAATTACAAAGACTCCTTGCCTTCCAGAAGTACCCCAGTCGATAATGTTTTTATTTATTTTTTGTTGAAATATAATCTTTTTTGTTATATAAATGGGATTTATTTCTATTAAATCTAATTTTTTTCTGTTTTCTATGCATATTTAGTTATTATGCATCTGTGTACAGTTAATTATATGAAAAGTATGTTTATTCATTAGTTGGAAATACAATAAATTAAAATTTGTATGTGTACAAATATTTCTTTCTCTCCACTGTGTGTGTATATATATATATATATATATATATATATATATGAGAGGAAAGAGATGAAAACAAAAGAAATATGTAGAGTTTTTTATTTGAGTCATTGATGTGTGTTAAATTTGAAATTAACTCATTCAACCTAATAATTATTTTGTAACATTTTCTATTGGAAGATAAGATGTCTTATATACATCCCGCCCAAAGCTGAAGGGAAACAATTCCAACTAAGAATAGCTACAAATTAAGTTGTGAGGGAGGATGAACAGTCACATATGCAAGTAGTGCTCCCCAAATTCTAGAAAAAAAAGGCAGACATCAGTCTTATATCCCTTTAGCCACAGCCACAGATTGGCTTTGATTCATCACCAGTTTAATGTAAATTAGAAGAACAATTGTTATGCAAATTTAGCAGTGAACAGATACTCTTTTCCAAACAGCCAATCATTCAGGAGAACATAACTCTTACTTACAATAGCCCAGTCAAGGTTTTTTTTTTTTATGTTGGTCTATTTCTCTTCTAAACCATGTTTATTTTTTTAAATATTCTCTGCTGAAAGAGATGATAACATATATACCATCAAAGAGGATAAATTACTTTTAAGGTTTTTAGTGCCTATTTTAACAAAAAAAAAAGACCAAGTGTTTTCTTATTGTAAAACTATTGAATTATCAATTGTTTTTTTTTTCTTTTGTTTTTACAGGAGGTACAACTGGAGTATTTGACCTGGAAGATTTGATAACTGTCTTGAAAGATGAAAAAGCCATAGACATTTGTGTGATAGATGTTCCAAAAAGCAAGAATTATGTTGACTACATGGTTATTGTCAGTGGGAAATCAGCAAGACATATAAAATCTATGGCTCAAAATATCAGATGGCTGGTAGGTAGTTACTGCATTTTCTTGTATGTAATAATACCCCTATATTTCTGAAGCTAAAAACAAGGAATAAATTACATCCTTAAGTGTAATACAACACTGTAGTACTGCCACTCCTATGCAAATCTTTTTTGAAAAGTTGTACCATGTTTACACTATTTACATTGTTCAGACTGTTGTCCTCATTTTTGTTGCCATATTCAAGACGTTTCGACCATTGTACTCTTTGGCCTTCGTCAGGTGATTGGAATTTTGAACCGAACACTTTATTTCATCCATCGGGGTAAATTGTTTTAGTTCCACATGCCATACCTCTTCCAGATATCTCAGTGGACAAAAGTGTTGGTTGAATCCAGTGACTTGACGCAAAAAGTCATGAGTTCAATACCTGACTACAGCCGAGGTGAACAAAAACTTGTAGAGTTTAGTTAAAAGGGAGATAACTGATACTGAAAAGCATGAGAAATTTTTTGCTCCTGTTTTCAAGTGGAAAAAACTAAAAAAAAAAAGTACAAAACATGACAGATCTGGAGTATTCCCTTTATTATTTATTTTTAATCAATTTAAGTGAATTTCCTGTCTTTGAGACAAAAGATATATAATTATGCTTATTCCCAAAGAACAAATATTACTGACATCAATTGCCTTTTTCTAAGCAATTGTTATCAACACCTGCTTACTTTGTGTTTTATTATCTATTATGCTCACTGAGTGGATTTGCAATCTTGTGCTTTCAAATAGTTTTTTTTAAACTGAAAAAGCAGATATTTTTATGACCATCATTATAACAAAAGAACAATCAAAATAAATGAGTAAATGTCATATTGATATCATTTCAGTTTGTGAAACTGTTTAGAATCTAGAAAATTAAAATCATTGCTATATATAAGATGGGGTGGGGGCTGCTACCTATACTAGCCGAAAGGATAATCCAACCATGCGGATAAGAATTATGTTTAAAAAGTTTTACCTTGTTTTTACTGGTAATTTCATTTTATTGTTTAATCTTTTCAATTTTATCAATTATCCTCTTTGGTAAGTATTGAACAAAAAGCTGGTTCTTTATGACTACTTAACACCACTTTTTTCTTCCTCTTTTGATTGATGTATTTTCATTATACATATGTATTGTTCCATTTCATTTTATTTCCTATTTAGTTACTTGTTATTTTCTTAAATACTATTTTATCCAGTTGATACTGAAAATGAAAGCTTATATGAGGGGATGCTGAAAGAAGTTCTAAGCTGAGCCAAAAAGGATTCAAAAGAAAATTCTCTTATTTGGTCTGATTTTGGGAAATGTCTTGGGCCAATAACTTTGCAGCACTTCTATGTATTACATATTATCCGTATTAAATTTTTAGTATTATTCCTTATAGCATTTGAGACGGCGAAACACCAGTTCTCATATGATCACCAAAGTTAAGCAATGTTGAGCTTGGTCAGTACTAAGATAGGTGACAACTTGAGAATACCAGGTGCTGTAAGCTTGGATGTGTTTCATAATAATAATAAATTTCTAATTAAAATAAAATTTCTAGTCCCTATTTTTTACTTTTCTAGAAAGATAAAACCAAGAAAATAATCACTTAAAAAATAAAAATGTTTAAAGATTTCAACACATGAAAAATTTTTCTGAAAACTGAAATACTGTTTTTTAAAAAAAATCTTAAGACAATTCCATTTGTGTTGTGTTGGAATCTTTGTAAAACTTTTTTTCAGTGGAGATGTGTCGGTGATTAATCTTTATGAAAATATAAAAATTTGTGACTTAAACATTTTTTCAAAGTAAAATTTAGTCATAAAAATATTGGTAGTTATTATAAAAAGAATAACGTTTTCTTAGATTTTTAAAAAATAAAAAACCCTGTTCATTATAAAAAAAGTAAATAATGACTATGTACTGAAATGTTCATTTAAATTGGGTAATTCCTTGATTTTTGGTAATTTAAAAAATGTGCTGCCCTTCCCTCCTAATTTTCCTTCGAGGGTTTGTGGCCTCAGGTTGGGAAACTCAAAAATCAACATATAGGAGAGAAGTGGGGCCGTATCAGTTTCGGGGAAGGGATGATACCCTACCACCGACCCCGTTCACAGAACATTATCGTGTTACAATTTCTGTAAATTACCGTCAGAGATTAAGCCTCTGTCGAAATCGGTTATGTCCCCTGATTTTTGAATAATCTCCCTTCTCACTACGGTTGCGCTACTTAAATAGTCTCTTTTTTGAAAATTATAATAATTCAGTTAAAACAATGTCTGTTGAAGATTTATTTGCTAGTTAATTTTTCTATTAGATCTCTGCTTGCTATTATTTGCAATAATAATAATAAACAATATTTTTTAGATAATTGGATAATAGATAATAATTATATAGTTGAGTTTGTGAGAATTTGAAATATTATCTGTCAGTTCACCATTTCTATTTTGTATACATTTTTTTGTTTCTTTGGCTGATGCAGAAGCAATATTTAGTTACACATTGGCAATGTTATATCATTTGGTAGGAAAGGGAAACCTTTCTAAGAACTACAGAAGGTAGTGAAGGAAGCAAGATGAAAGGACTAAACTTCAGTTGCAAGAAGACATGGTTGTCAACAAAAGGGTCAGTACAACATGCAAATTGGAGAAACCAAAATCAAATAAATACAATTCAAATATCTTAGAAGTGTTTTAACTGAGGATGGAAAATGCTCCACCCAAATCTGAAGGTACATTGAGATAGCAAAAGATGCCTTCCAAAGTATTAAGAAACAGAAAAATTTTGTTAGAAATTTAGAAAAGAGTACCAAACCGTATGGCAATGAATACTGGACAATCTCCTCAAAGGTGAAAAAGCAAAAACTGAGGCAACAGAAATGTGGGTACAGGAGTGCTGAGAATACCAGGGACTGAACATGTGAGCAACAACAAAGTTTTAGAGAAAATTGAAACAAAAAATACTCATATACCTAACATCAGAAAGAGAAAGTTGAAATTTCTTGGGCACATAATGAAGAATGAGGACTTGGAAAATTTGATACTCACAGGACAGAATGAAGGCAAGAGTGACTGAGGAAAATGATGCATAAACTACCTATCATACTTGTGTAAATGGATAGCAGAACAAAGTTTAGGAGAGATAACAACAAAAGCTAAATTTATTAAGACCTACAAAAGGGCAGGAAATTGCAAAGAGTCATGATTACCAATATCCCCAATGGATAAAGCATATAGAAGATTTGTAAATATATATATTTTTTTTTATCAAAATTTAGTTATTTTTACTTTTTATGTTGATAAAAAATTAATTTCATATTTTTTAAGCCATAAAATCATTATCTTGTTTTCCTGTTTGAATTTCTAGAATGAGGTGTTATCATTATGCATTATTATTTACACTAATTACATACAGACTTTTCTTTGTTATTGTTGTTATCACACTGTTTTGGCTATTGTGCCCTCCGACCTTTATCAGGTGTATGTCAATCTGGGTGACCTACAGGGAATTCCAAATTGAACTCTTTATTTATTGTAGACTGTTCTCATGCCACTGCAATTCTAGGGATATCTCGTTTAGTTCTTATTTTACTACTGTTCAGTTGTTGCTTAACCATTTTATTGCTTCCACTGAGTTAAAGTACACACTTCCTGACCCAGGGATTGAACTCACAATTACTATATCACCAAATTTACAAGCCAACACTTTAATCCACTAGGCATGGGGCAATTCTCTATGGAGAACCTGGAGATATGTAAATAGTGTAAGCTTCTTGTTTTTGTTTTATTTTCTTACATTTAATCTTTACATGGTATTGTTGTAGTGTCTTCCCTCTAATGAGTCTATTATGGACTCTTCCACTTACTATAAAGTAGTAGAAAAAGTAAGCCTCAGGGGAATCAATGATATAGACTGAATGCTGGTCAACCGATACACACTCCCAAGTCGTGTAACACATTTCTGTTGTATTTACTGTTCAATACACTATTTATCTGCAACCTTTTGTTTTGTTATTCCTTAATCAATTACTTGGTCACAACAGGTATATAAAGATGAAATGTAAAATTGGTATATATAGATATATTTTGCATAATATTTTTTGTAAAAAAACTTTAAAAAGTAGCATTATTTCACACACATTTTTATAGTGTTGGGTACTCTTTCTATTTCATTGTCACCTCCTATCACTTTTCATTTATGAACTTGAGCTGAAGCGAGTTGTAGTCAGGATAAACAGCAGACAGATATGTAGATCCTTTTATGCGACACACTGTAAACTAGAGTTACAATTCAAGTACTAAGAACTTCTTACTATTTGGTATGACCAACCAGAGAACAATGAAGCCATAAATATTCCCAAAATCAGCCAGACAAGATTAGACTAATATCAGTAACAATGAAATGAATACAACAGGGAGAAAGAGAGCAATATTAATGTAGAAATTATAGAAATAAAAAAAATAATATCAACACCACTTGAAATTTAAAAGACAAAACACTTTTTTAAAAATAAAAATAAAAAGGAATTCTTTCAAATTTATCATGATTCAGATTAAACATATTCAAAAAATTTTTTTTTTTTTTCAATGATGTTCAGCCTGTACAAGGCTCTGGGGGGAGCACTCAAAGTAGAGGGTTACAAAGTAAAAGGCACAGCATATGCAGATAATGGTTAACTAGACTTGAACAGGTTAAGATTGTAGTGATTGGGGAAGCATCCTCTTGGGAATCAGTTCTACAAGGCAGTGGTTCTTGGGAAGAAGCTGTTCAAATAGAACTTACATCTCACCAAAGGAATACAGAGAGAATGAGCATGATTTACTACAATGTACATGGCATGGTGGGTCTTAGCCATAAAGGTTAGGACTGGTGGAACTTGTGGTTGATAGTTGCAACGAGCCCAGGTCAAGATCCATAGATTCTCTGCTTGTTCGTCTGTGTAGCTGACCTTTTATTCAAGTTATTATAAAGGTGGAATTAGTGATAGTTTTAAAAGCACTAGAACCAAACATGCCCTTTACCTAAATTACAAATGGAGGTAAGGAGCATAATAACACTTGAACACTTTCAATGGAAATAGCAATAGAGCAGCAAGAGGCTTGCAATGTTTCAGCTATGAGAAAGGGGTTGGGTGGAAAATAATTTATCACTCAGAAGGACGTGGAAAAGTGTTTATGAAAGAATAAATTATAACTACAGAAAGTAATTTTGCTTTCATTATAGACTACTTTTTATTTTTCTTGTTCATTTTTAAAATTTATTTTTACACTTCACATTTCAAAATAAATTCAGCAATCAACTTACTAAATTTCTTCAGGATTTAAAATAACCTCACTTATAAAAATTATTAAATTGCTTTAGGATTTAATTTCTAATTGGTTGTGTGTAAAAGTGTTTCTTGTTTTCATTATCTTTATAATTAAACTGATGTTTTCCTAAAGAGCTGAATGGTTTCATGGAGGGCTTTGCTGATGATAAAAATGATGAAGTATTATTTTAAAATTTATATTTTGAAACATATACAAGTTATGATAATTCAGCATATCATTGATAACACAAAAGTTGTCCTGAATGGGACACTCTTCCAGATCCTTTCATACTAATGCAGGTGTCCCCCTCCCTCCCTCCTCTCCAGGGCTCTATACTTGGTCCTACTTTGTTTTTAATTTTTATTAACAACCTTCCTAATGGCATGAGCTTCAACTTGGTATCTATGCTGATGACACAACCATTTACTGCTGCCTCAATAGTAAGTCTGCTCAGTTTGATAAGGTCAAATTGGTGGTTGATGTCAACAATTATTTACAGTCAACTGGGGGAAAAGAATGGCTTGTTAATTTTAATGCCTCCAAAGCAAAACTGCTCTCTGTTAATCATCTGAAAGATTCCTTTATGTCTTCCATCATCAATGTTGATGCTGACCTCCAGGAAAGTGACTCATTATGCCTTCTTGGGCTAACATTATCTACTGGCATGCAGTAAAAGTGTTGACAGATTTTATCATCGCTTATCAAATGATCTACAAGTGACAAGCAACAGGGATAATCACTACTACTGTTTATTTTAAAAATCCATTTCTCTGTTATTTTAAACTTCAAGTAAATAATATTTTTTTTCAAATCAGTACTTTAAACCAGCTAATATTCATCAAAAATTTGCAAAAATCAAATATTTGTCAGATTTTAATGAAACTTTCAGGACTTATTCACAAATGAATGAAATTATTTTTGAAATTTTATTTTTAGGAAAACCTTGGTAAATAAATATTTTTTTACATATGTTACTCACCACTTGCTTAATTTCATAAAATTTCAGAAATTAAATTGCAGCCTCAAAATTTGTTTTATTAGTTAAAAGTAGAACTCCTTAGTGAATGTAAGTCACTATTTTTTTTCAAACTACTTCTCATTTCCTGAAAATATGCTCTGAATCTTAAAATAAAAAAATGCAATAAAACTATGACATTATTTAATTAGAAAACTTTTAATTGCTTTTATAAATAAAATTT